AAAATATAAAATAAAATAAAATAAAATAAAAAAATATTAAATATAAAATTAAATTAAATTAAATATAAACCTAAAATTTTGCAAAAAAATAAATACAATAAAATTAAATATAAAATACAATTTTAAATAAAATAAAATATAAAATGAAATATAAAATAAAATATTATATAAAATATAAAATAAAATAAAATAAAATATAAAATATAAAATATAAAATAAAATATAAAATAAAATCAGTCCGTCTGTTTCTCTGCTCTGCTCTCTAGCTCTCCGGAGGGTGCGAGCTGACGGTGGTCCTGCAGGACTTTGTGGCGAGCGGCGCGTCTGAGCTCAACGTCCAGACCGGTCAGACGGTGGAGCTGTTGGAGCGGCCCAGCGACCGGCCGGGATGGTGTCTGGTCCGGACCACAGACAAGACCCCCCTTCAGGAGGGACTGGTGCCCAGCAGCGCTCTGTGTATCTCTCACTCTCGCAGCAGTGTGGAGATGGACTGCTTTTTTCCAGCAGGCAAAGGTAAGAGCACGACTTTCTCAATCGGCTGAAAGATTCTCTGCTGTGCTCTTGCGTTTAGTAGATAATGAACATATGGTTTTTATAGATAAATGTTCTTTAGCATTTTTTTTTCTTTGAGAATTAAACGGTACCATTCAAAAGTTTGGGGTCGATAAGATTTTTGAAGTATTTTTGAAAGAAGTCTCTTCTGCTCACTCAAGGCTGCATTTATTTGAGTATAGATACAGTAAAAATGGTAACAATGTGAAATATTATTATCATCGAAATAAACTGTTTTCTAGGTTAATATATTGTAAAATGTAATTTATTCCTATGATAACAAAGCTGTATTTTCAGCATCATTACTCCAGTCTTCAGTGTCACATGATCCTTCAGAAATCATTCTAATATACTGATTTACTCCTCAAGAAACATTTCTGATTATTATCAATGTTGAAAACAATTGTGCTGCTTCATATTCTTGTGAAAACCTTGATACATTTTTCCCCTCAAAGTTCAAAAGAACAGCAGTTATTTGAAAAATAAATATTTTGTCACATAAATCCCTGTCATGTTTGATCAATTTAATGCATCCTTTCTAAATAAAAGCATACATTTCTTTCAAAAAGATATCTTACTGACTCCAAACACTTGACATATACTGTTACATGAGTTATATGTTTTCATTTTGGATATAAATAGTTATTTTGCATTTAAGTTTGTTGGCAGTCTGATCAAATAATGAGTCAAGAAGAAGATGTTGACACTGTTTTTGATATTACTTCCAGTTGGTTTGTTGAGTGCATTGCATTGTGGGATGCAGTGTTCCAGTTCTGTTTGTATGCCAGCACAAGCTTTCGACCAAAAGATTATGAGAAACATAAATTCAGTCAGGTGTGTCTGAACCTTTGACTGGTAGTGTACTTCATACTGCAGAAACAGTGTGAGTCATATGGTAGTGTGCCAATGTGAACCTTCCTGTTGTTACAGTAGTTTAAAGGGGGACAGTCCAGTAGCCTGTTCATAGTGTTTTGTGCGTTTTTCTGCCATAGTGCAGAAACCTTTGCAACTTTTGTCCCCTAGAGGGCACCATCACTCCAGTGTGTCAGATAGAAATGCAATTGACTCCCGAAGTGCTCTTGACATTATTCACACTAAGCATGTTTGTCTCAGTGCACTAATGACTGGATGTCCTGATGCCCTCAGTAAACACATGAAGCTGGGCACACTTGCCGTTTGTTTTCAGGAGTGGTCTCTCAAAGTATATGTGAGATGTTACACACATATACTTAGAGGCTGTTTACCCCAAACAGTGCTGTGATCCTATTAGCACCAGCATGATCTCCAGCTCACAGGATACAGCACTGAAGATCTGTTTATAGTCAAAATGAAAAAAGCCATTGATATATATAACTTTTATAATGTGGCATATGTCAGAGTAAATCAGGATCAGGGAATATCGTAGGGCAGGACTTGATTGGATTTTTTTCCACCAATGTACAATGCACAGTAATTCCAGAAAAAGGAATAAAGGAAGTAAATCGTGTGTTTGCTTACTGACTGCAGACCAACATTCCTGTAGACTGTTTCCATTGTGTTCATTAAAGGAATAATGCAAAGTGTTGCATTATTACTCACTATTACTATTACTCACACTGGAATGCCCTAAAATGGGTAGTAATGGGAGTTTACTCTGGAATGTGGAACAATCCATTTCCTTATGTGTGTTGCAATTTTACAATCATCTTTTATTTATTGTAACTCATATGATTCATTTGCTGAAGTGGAAATGTCATTGATGAAGATGAAGAATAGTTCATGAATTGTCTGCCAAGAAAGTTTTTTTATATAGAGCAACCCAGCTAACAAAAATATATGGTTTCGCTAACCTTCCCAGTAAATAAAACTCATGAAAACATTAAAAACTAATGAAAAATTTACTTTTGAAAAAAATTTAAATGTCCAAGATGCTTTTTAAAACTTTTTTTAAATTAATTTATTTATTTTATTTATTTTTTATTTATTTATTTTATTTTATTTTATTTTATTTTTTGTTATGCTAACGTTAAAGAAACCATTAAAGGAACTTTCATTTGTTATCATTTTGAAAACATTATAGGAATGTTAAGTTAGTTATATACTGTATATATATATATAAAAAAAGAATGTTCTGTTAACATTACTGGTAAAAATGTTTGTTCATAACTTTGAGAGACGCTTACTAGAATATTAGCCAAAGTTCTGAGAATATGGCCTGTTAGCTGGGAAACTGTTCAGAAGGCTTTGAGTTCAGCGCTTAAGATGTTACGTTTCTCATTGTTTTAGTTCTGGGTTTGAGGTCTGGCTAGTCAGATACAGAGGTGTGTGTGAGAGAGTGCCGTTTGCATTGCGCCTTTAATATTGAGTCTATTTTAGAGTCTGTCTGATTTGCATAACTCCTCCTGTCTGTTGTGCTGGGATACTGTGTGTCATTACCATAAAGATTCCGCTGCAAAATGCAAAAAGGGAAATGAAGGCAGCGTCCATGCATTGCACTGCGCCTTTAATATTGAGTCTATTTTAGAGTCTGTCTGATTTGCATAACTCCTCCTGTCTGTTGTGCTGGGATACTGTGTGTCATTACCATAAAGATTCCGCTGCAAAATGCAAAAAGGGCCTAATGTAGAACACCTAGCAAGACACCTCATTATGGAAATGAAGGCAGCGTCCATGCAGCTCTGCAACGTAATACACCTATTACAGTCAGAAATGGTTATTCTGGAAATTCTGTTTAATTCTCTATTTGATGATGATATCCATCTAAGACTGAAGTGTGTGGGGCAGCTGTAATAAGACACATGCCAAACCAGCACATGCACTCTGAGATGTTGATCTAGATGTTGACTTTGATTCAAGATGTTTCCTAGATAGATCTAATGCATCTCACCAGTCAGTAGCAGAGGGTTGGGTTTCGTCATTGCATTCTGTTGTCGTTTGAGTGGACATTCATGATATTCATGTCTGCATACTGCACTGGCAAAACTCTGGTTACCAACCCTGAGCTTGCATGTTTTTATTAATTTATTTAATTTGTGAGTTTTTTTTTTTTTTTTTTGACCCACTTAAGTAGGATTTAAGTACATCTTTATATATATAATTTCATATAGAGTCTTTGAAATATGAATAAATTGCACTTTGTTCATGTAAAATATACACAAACACTTTAAATATTGTATAGATTATTAAAATATTATGATTTAAGATGTACTTTGAAGTAAAACTTTTAAAAAGTTTTTAAAGATCTTAAATCTTCAAGATTTAATCTTCAAGAAACGACTAAAAACACACCTGTTCCACCTTTATTTGACCCTCTAACTCTAGCACTTTCTTATTCTATTTTAATTCTACTTTATCT